TTTATGTATCATAGTTGTGACTCGCGAGTGAAATCCCGACCTAACTGAAGGTTCGAAGAAGGACTTCGCATATGCCTCAGTTGCAAATCCTCTCTGCAACATTTACTCGCTCACATCTGCCATGGATACGTACATGGCATCCGCTTCTTCTTTCCTCGTCTTCAACAGGAACAAGGGAGAACCTAAGAGTAATTATGCCTTTGCACCTATGGCCCTGGCATGTACTTCTCATCACATTCTCAGAATAGCAGACTAACCCCTTTGTCCTTTCTTATCCTGCTCTCCTTTCTCTGCAGTCTCTTGAAATTTTCTCCACTCCCTCCTCTACTGGCTTCTCCCGGAGGTCTCATAATACTTGTTGCCCTGATTACAGGCCCCTTGGGGAGCTAGAAGAAGGGTGTTTATGGTCCTGTAAGGACCTCCTAAGCTAGTTTCCTCAGCCCCATTCTTTCTCCTTTCTTCTGGATCTCTTACCAAAAACTGCTGCCAGCCTCCATAAGGCCCTTTCCCAGGTTCCCGGCTCCATTAGCCTGGACGCTGCTATCGCGATGTCTGTTTTCAGTTCCCTTCAAAATCCTTCTAAGCTGGACTCTTCAGAAATTGTCCAAATCTGCAGCCAAAGACATCAAAAACCGACCGATAAATTCGCCAAAGTCCCTTCTTGAGTCAAGGGCCAAAAGAAATGCTTCATAGAGTTCTCTCCACACGTCGGTATTGGAAATGCTTCTATAAGCAATATCCTTGAACTCCTCTCCAATCCGAATGGGCTCCCTCACTGGTCACGCCACTGATACCAATTGCCAGAGCTTCCCCTTATCCGACAACAGACGCCGTGCTGCAAATTTTTCATCCTCGTATCAACCGTTGACACAAGTAAACGCATCCACTTGTTACATCCAGCAATGGGCCCTCTTACACCCCAAAAAACGGCGCATCTTCACTTCCTCACGCCGTGGGGTCTCCTCCGGTTTCCCCGTATCCTCCATAACCTCCATATCCTCGAAAAGAAGAATCTCCCCCAAGATGCCCGATCATCCCCACCGGACGACTATATTCGAATCCCCTTTCAATACTTCAACCTCTTCTCCCTTCGCATTTCAATCCACCTCGACGCTGAATTCGCTGAATTCCTTCAAATTCAGCACCTCGACGATGACGTTCCTCCCTTCTTCCTTCAAAAACAGCCCCTCGACGCTGAATCCTTTCGAATTCAGCACCTCGGCGATGAATTTCTTCCCTTCCCCCTTCAAATTCAACATCTCGACGCTGGATTCTTTCAAATTCAGCACCACAGCGATTGAATTCTTCCCTCCTTCCGACCAAATTAGCCTCCCGTTGGTCGTATCCCTACTCATATTCTCTCTAGAAAGTGGTTCTAGAGGGGTCATGTCGTTTTCCTCCTCCAGGATCTCCACCTCCGAATTTCTCCTCCCCCTCAAGGGGTTCGGATTTCCTCCCATGCCATGGTCGTCGGTGTTCTCTCGTACTTCCGATGTCGCTTGATTGGTCTTCATTTCAAGTAATTTCTTCATCATCTCTTCCATCACGGCGAACTTCCCCTCCAACCTTTCATTGTTGGAGGTGATTTGATTTTGGAAATCGAAAAATCTTCCCTCCAAATCGGATTTCAATTGTCCGATTTCGCCTTCCAAAACTTCCACCTTCTTTCCGGCCATCATTCTTCTAACGGATCCCAAAAAATCTTCTTCCGGAAACGATAAACTTGCTGAAATTTCAGAATTTCATCTGCCGGTGGTCCCAAATCGACGCTCTGATACCAATTTGATAGGAAATACTTGAGTTCACAGGTAACCCTAAGGTAATACTTGAGTTCGCAAGCAATCCTAACCCAAACCAGTGAAAATTCAACAGCAAAACTGCTGTCCACAGCAGAAAAACAGCAGGAAACCGGGAAAACGTAGAGAAAAACACAAGTAGAAGCTTGTATTTCACTAGAAGAAGAAGAAAACAGAAAATATACAATTGATCCTCAATTCGAGAGGAGGATCGATCTCTCCCAAATCTCTAGACGCCGCTAGAGCCCAAAGAAACCCTAAATCTAAGAGATCTCAAATTTCAGCCCAATTCAAGATACTCAAACCCTAGGAAAATCAACTATTTAATGCATACAAATCAAAAGGAAATCCCTAAACAATCCCTACATTCAATTTCCCTCCTAGAATCCATTCAAAAACCTTCCTAAAAGGAGCTCTCAAGCCTCGCGTGCGTGCGGCTGACGGAAGAGGCAGAGAAATTCCGCCCGTCTCCGCCTGGGCCGGTCCCGCGTGGACCGGCTTGACCGGTCTAACAGCCTCAAGTATGTAATTGTCAATGTTTTTAGCTAGGCTAACCACGCCATTGCCAATTATATTGAAATATTAAATGAGGCAAACCAAAGATATTCTATATTTGACAAAGAATTATAAATTGTTGTTGTAGCACTTTATCATGGCCATCGTTATCTATTGATATAGCCATATAGGAGTTTGTCCTCCATTCAAATCATGAAACCCTAAGGTACATTCACTCAAAAAGTAAACTTAGTACACATTATGCTAAATATGTAATTTTTCTTCAAAAGTACTATTCATGTTGTGCCACCGAGTCGGTGTGCATAACAAAGTTGTTGACACCCTCAATCGTTTGCATTCCCTTCTATCTGTTACAAATATTTCAATACCTAATTTCGATCAGTTGCAATTACATTACCTTACCAATAAAAAAAATCTCCTTAGCCTTAGCCTTCAAATGTCCAGCCCCGCCCTCATTTATTTGTTTGCCTCTTACATGATGGATTTATTTACAAGGCTACTTATTATGTATTATCAATACTTCTCTATGCGATTTCCTTGTTTGAGAATTTCATTCTAGTAGGCTTGCAGGGCATGTTGGCTGAGACAAGACAATCTACCTCTCTGAAGAATGGTTTGATTGCATCTATCAAGCATGATATTGTTCCCATCATCATACAATATCACACTTTGATTGCATTGCAAGGTTGTCAGACAACCTACACGGTTCTATAAACCTCTTGTGATTACTTATTCCTCACGGCAAGAATTAAAGCATATATTTTGTTCTGGGCATAACCTCAAATGACTCATAGTCATGATTCCATATTTTGTAATTGTTGGCCGATTCTAAAAAGTGGCTCACTTATGCATCTAATATTAGACAACCTTTCTTTAAAGAGGTTATTTGGTCCCATTATTTTTCATCTTCTATTATCTATGTTAGAGATATAAGATTTATGGGACTTTTTGGAAAACACTGTACAAACTATTTGGAACCAAATTAAAATTTTCTTCTGCTTTTCATCTACAAACTAATAAGTAAACTAAAGCTATAAATTGTAGCTTCAGTAGCTTAATAAGATGTATTACTGGTGATAACTTGGGCAATTGGGGTTTAATCTTACTTAATATTGAATTTATCTATAATATCCCATTATCTCAATTGTATGTTGTGCAATTCACCGTTTGCACTGGTTAATATGAGCACAAAAAACCTTATAGATTTCATGGCATTACCATTTCAATCATCATACTTATTTTTCTGTTGCATCCTTAGCTTAGCAAATGCATAACCGTCAGGCTGATATTATAATGCATATTGCTGAGAAACACAATCACAGATGCTCACATAAGCAACCAAAACTTAAATGAAGGATATTATGTTCTTTTGAGCATTCAACATAAATGCTTCCCACGCAAACAATTGAAAAGCTCCACACAAGTAAAATGGGATATAATGCATATTTAATTTAACTACCTCAAGATTTTAATATTAGTCATGTTTTCAATATAAAAGATATTTTACCTTATAAGGGGCATTCGAGCATCCGACATTACTAGAAAGTATCTTTGCATGTGAAGTTCTACTATGATAAATATGTCTCTTATTCCTATATTTTCTGCAATTCCTACTTCTTTTTCACGTATTGTCTGGTAGACCTCATGGATGAAATTACAACTAGTCCAATTGGACAACAATTCTACTTCATTCGATGGAGAGATCATCGACTTGATGATGACTCAAGGATCTCACAAGACTAGCGATATGGTATTGAACCACATCTCCTAGAAGGGTAACATCGTGCTAACTCGTTATTCTTTTTATCCTAGAAAGCTATGATGCAAAACAAAGAAGTGCCCACAGATTTACCCAACCTGGTTCCAAATCTGACTTTGTTTTCACTAGCATATGTCATTGTCATTTCATGTGAATTTCAACAATTATATAATTTTATTTCATGGAAAGAGGTCTGAATATGGATATGGTGGAAGATTTGAATATGGATATGTTAATAGGTTTGAATATGAATGGAATATGAAAAGCTAGGGAAATCTTGGGCTTTGTCAAGAATATTTCCCTCCTTTCACTCGATAAATAAGGATCAGTTGTAGGAAGAAGGATATTCAAGTTGAAAATAATGATTGCTTGTACAAATATGCAATATAACACTCTCCTCCTCTCCTATCTTCCTCTTTGACTAGCTAGCTGGCCTATTTATCCTTCTCCTATAGTCTCTTCCTCAGCTTCTCTAGTCACTTCCTTTTCTCTTAATTCATTGTAGATTTTAGATCTTTCACATCTTCCTTCCCATCACCACATAGGCTTCAATTCGTGGAAGTAGAAATTAGGTGCAGTTGAATGATGCAACATCTTTGAATTGAACTTAGCTGGCATCAATATGTGCCAAAGCATTTTTCAAAATAGGGAATTTAGAACTTCAGTAAAAATAGTAAGTCTTTGGCTAGTGCATGACTAAATGAGCACAAGCTCAGTAGGTAGACCCACCATCTTCAAAAAGGGAAGGGGAACAATTCAAAATCCCCTCCAAAAATAAAAGTACATAATAACATTTATAAGAATTATGGCCATACATGTATACAACTTAGAAGGGCTGACGAGAATTATAAATTTAATTATAGTGCATCTAGCATTAAAAGGTATGGATGGTTGAAATGCATAGATGCATCCTTTTAAAACAAGAAAAATAATGAGAAAAATCAATCTCATCATTACAAACTTAACCTCTGAGCATTTAGCATCCATAAAGATAGGAGTTAGTACAAATAAAAATAAATAGACAAACAATCTTACTTCCTTCCACAAGAAAAAAGGACTCTAATTCCTTATACAAAATTATAATACATGCTATTAGAAAGCCGCTTCTTTTAAAAATAAAAATTATGAAAAACTATTGATACGTTGGATGCTACAATCTGGATGTCAAGCCTGATTAAGCCTTTTGATGGTCCGCTCAAGGCTTCCATAGTCCCATCCTATACTTATGTGTATATTTCAATATCAGCTTCCTCTGCATCAATTAAGAAAATAAAAGAAGAAAAAAAATTAAGATTACATCCCTCTTCCAGTCACTGAACTAAGCAAGCACAGTCAAACAAGAGTGCTAAAAATGATTGAAAGTCTGCTGTTGAATCGAGACATTGCCACTAAGCTCTTCGAATGGATCCTACTATACGCTTAGTGTTGGTTTCTCAGTGCAAAGGATAAGAGAGTGTACTGTACGAAAAAATCTAAAAATTGATGCCCTATCTCATCCTCTTGGAACACTGACGGAAAACATCTTTCATCATACGCAAAACCTTCTACAACTACACAGAACATGAAAATTTTAGCAAATTACTTCTAAATAGTAACTCATTTGTCTAGGGTTCACTGGAGAAAACAATCAGCGCAAAGGCATGCAAAAGCTTTACAGAAAAGAACATAGAAGAGTAAGGAAATACGTGTTTGCAAGGAATGCCGAGCTTCTTGAGGCGAAGCGTCCTCGTAACAAGAAGCTTGTTGAAGTCTCCAATCTCTGTCTCCAACTTCGCAGCGTGCGCCTCCACCCCATTCCCCACGCTATTAAGAAAATCAGGAATCCCCACCTTTACTGTTCCAACACCACCATACAAACGGAGGATTAACAAGAAATGGGAGAAAAACAAAACTGAATCAAAACCCTAGCAAAACCCTAATTGCTACAGATTGCAAAAAGAAAATATTAGTTTACTCAAGTACGGCGGTGTGTAGTAGAATCTAGAAGCGGAAGGGTAGAGAAGCGGATTAATATCCGCCGCTGGTCGGCGACCGGTGGCGGCAAGTCGCCTCCAGCAATGTATTATCAAAGCCATTGAAGTGAAAGACACCGCCGCTGGATGGTAGATTTGCGGATTAATAAAAAAAGCTTGTTTGTTAAAAAAAATTTTGCAAATAGCTAACAAGGGCCACAGGCCCACAACATAAACAGATGAAACAATTTTACATGCAAATTTTAAAATTAAAAAATATTATAATACCTAATTAAAATAATTTAATAATATATTAATATATATTAAAAATATCAATTTTTTTTACCATTAAAGAAAAGAAGATTATAAGATTTTAACAATAAGAGATATCTTATGAAATAGTGATGAGTATTTGCATGAGTTTATGTAATTAATATTTATGTGATGAGTATCTTTTATTCAAATTAGGCTTGGAGTTTAGTCATTTGAAAGATGAGCTCAAGATATATATTATTCAATAAGGCTAGAGCGAAGGATCGAGATTTTAAGGTCAATTTAGCTTAATGAGTGTGTTTTGATAGAATTTTTTGCAAATTAACAGAATATTTTGAGGCATTTAATAACTAACATAAAATATGTATCCTCAAAAAAAATTCTAAAAAGGCAGAACAACAAATATCAACATTAAGTTTTTATCCCACTACGTATGATCAGGTACATGGATCATTTTTCTTAACTGTATCCTATTAGGAGTCAAATTCTTATTTTAATCTAATGACAAAGATTATTTCTAATACTTCCTGACCAAGGCTTTTTTTATCTATATTTATATTTCTTAATATAGGTCAAATCTGATACATTAAAAGTACAATAGACCAAAATATACTCAAACAAAAAATTGCTATAATTTTTAGAGAGTAAATGTTAAGTTATCAATTTGTATAAATCATAAGAAATTTATGCAAAATTTAATTTTGCAACAAAAAAATTCATAGATGAATTTTTAGGAAACCTTTGATAAAAGGATAAGAGTCTTTGAAGGATGTTTAATCTCATTAATAATTTTTAAACCCTAATTTTCTATTTTAAAAATCATTTAAAAACATTTAAATTTTTGAAAAAAAGAAGTTTAAATCAAGTTCAAATGTTCCAAAATATGCTAAAAACACAAGTATTGCAAAGCAATTTAGCCCTTGGACAAGATCCATGAGCCCTAGGGATATTTTAAGGTCTTAAATCTTAATCTCATAAATATTTGAAAATTCGATAAAATTCTAAAATAGGAAAAATATTAATAATCTTTAAAAATTTTAAAAGTTCTTTAAAAATTGAGTTTAAGTTTTGATAGCACCTATCCTTAATCTATAATATTTTTTAAATCATTAACCCTTGAAAATATTAATGTCATTTAAAATCATATAAAAACACTAAAAAAATCATTAAAATAAACCAATTATTCCTTTTGAGGTTAATTTGATGTTATGCAACAACTCAAGTGGAGCCTTCACATGATGAACTCTGTTCACCTTTTGATTTCCTTTAATACTCTAAATTTGAAACTTCTAGAAATTTGAAATATATTCTAGAACTATTTGATATCATGGGATCAAATTATCATATGATTTTGCAAACACATAATAAAGTTAATCATATTTTGAAACAAAACATATCAAGATACTTTGATATTTTTTTTCTCATCTATAACACTAACATTATACACAATATTTTTAAAACAATAGACAAACTAAAATCGATACAAAATAAGATAAATCATTAAGGAGTTGTTTGGTTGCTTGAAAAAGAACGCACGAGAAGATGAATATTTTGGAGTTTTTTAGATGAATCTAGAAGGAATGTGTGAGTTTACTTTTTTTTTTTTATTTGAAGTAAAGTGAATGCAATGTAAAAGGAAAAATGGTTGTACCCGGGGTGGCAATCGGGCGACGTAAGAGGGCAATGCGGTGACAACGACCAGCGATAGTGGATGACAGCTTTTTATTATATATATATATATATATATATATATATTTAAATAGCAAAAAAACAGTGACTTATTGCTTTCTAAAATATCTTTCTAATATAAAAAATTTCTTGAACTAAAAATTTTTGTATTAAAAAATCACTTCAAAAAATAATAAGAAATATGTCCCAAAAAAAGCTCAAATCTCATGATGCATATACAACAACTCACATATCATATCTTAATATTTTAAAGCCAAAATAATTTAGCAATTTTTTTCGGGAGAAATTTGGACAAAGCCCACATATTAAGTGAAAGAAAACTCACAAGTAAAATCAGAAATCTCCACAAAAAAGAGGGCGAAGCTCAAAAACAGTCCAAAACAGACAAAAATACATAATCATCTCCAGGAACATCACAACAAAAAGGAACAGAAGGCAACTAGAGCCGGAACTTAATCATCAAAAAGAGTTCGAGAGAAAAATACCCTGGTTGCCTGAAGACCATCCAAAGGTATTGCCATAATACGAGTGGACATCATCGTCCCATGCTCATCCGCAAAAATCCCGATAAAACAGAAGCAGGAGGTGGCCACATATAGAACTCCAGCAACAAAGATGGAATTATAGCAAATCCAGCAAAGCGATCCCGTTTCTCCACTTATAAACTTTTGCAAAAACATTATTCTTAATCTTGTGAGTGATGGTAACATAGCTGCTGGCATTCAAACCAAAACACTTATTATATCTCTCTCGCCGTATGAAATAAATTGCAAAGCAAGTTGATAGAAAAGCTCTTTTCTCTTCAGAAGAAAAGTTCTCCTGATCACTAATCCATTCCAACAATTGAGCAACATTATGTCTTAAAAACAAAGAATCAACCCCTAGTATCAAATTTGATATAATAGAAAAGGAGTAGTTGAACTAAAAGAAAAGGTGAGCCATGCTTTCATAACCAATATGGCATAGTTGGCAATTTGAATCAATCAGAATATTGCATTTATGAAGAGCTTCAGCAGTTTTTAATCCATCCAAAGACAGAAGCGTAAAGCATTACGTTTGTGCCAAATGTGTTTTGCCCAATAGCACCCATGAAAATATTTGTAATATTCCTTAACATAGACTCCAAAAGAGCCCTTGTTAGTGTTACCCCACATCAAACAATTTGTAGAGTTTGCATAAATAGGTACAGAGAGAATAGCATTAGCAACAGCAGGATCCAAATTAACAGGCAAATCCCACACATCCCGATGATGAAATCACTAACGGAAGTATTCAAATTACTAGAAAATTAAGTAGATAGCCCATCCACATTACACCAGTGATCCCAAAAGAAAGCAATAGGAGCATAAGGAGTAGTCCTAGACTTAAAAAAGGCTTTGCAATAGCAGTAGTGTTACAAACATATTTCTAGAATTTCGTAACATGCACTAGAGCAGGGCGCCAAGGTGAAGTATATCTTGAATTGAGTCATAGAGAAAGAGGGGAGTTATAATTGTACATCTTACTAATAATCGAGCAATTAAAACCAAATTGCAGAGCCACCAGAGAATGCAAACCCAATCCCCCCAAATGCTTAGGCTTACAAATGTTATCCCAGAACACCAAATGCAGTTTACGAGTAGCCTCAACATCACAAAAAAACAAGAATTTAGAAGATAACTTCCTGATATACTTAATGATCGTTTTAGGTAAAATGAACCCTCTAATCCAGTAAGCTATAGAATAAGCATAGTAAATTTAAGAAATTGTAATCGACCGACAAAAGATAGGAGATTGGCCTTCCAACCCGATAGCTTACGAGTAATCCTTTCAACAAGAGGCATGAAGTCCGCAATGTTCTGTCTTTTAAAAGATAAAGGAATTCCCAAATATAAGATTTTACTGCTAACATTATAAATAGATAAAGCAGAACAAATAGATGATATGTTAAGCTCAGAGTTAGGGAGGATAACCGAGCTTTTATTATAGTTGATGAAAAGCTCAGATGCCTTAGCAAAGGTATTGAGATGCTGATAAAGTTTGTTGCAATTAGGAATATCTGCATTATCAAAGACCATGAGGTTATCAGCATATAACAGGTGAGTGATACAAAACCCATCCTCTGCAAAACCTTGAAAATCACCATCATCAATCAAAATTGAGAAAGCATCCATTACAATACAAAAAAAGATAGGGACTGAGGGGGCATCTAGGTCACAAACCTCAATAAGAAAAAAAATAGCCCTCCAAGGTTCCGTTAAGGAGGATGAAAAAATTAACATTAGAGATGCATGCTTTAACACAATGAATGAAGGTGCTAGGAAATATTTTTTGTGCTAATCTTGCCATAAGGAAGTCTCTTGAGACAGTGTCAAATGTTTTACGAATATCCAATTTTACACAAAAATAGCTACTATTTGTCTTTATACGAGCATATTAAAGAATCTCATTAACAAGAATAATATTATCAGTAAAAATTCTTGATTTAACAAAACTAGCTTCGTTATCCTTTACTATCACAAGCATAAGAGGCTTCATTCTATTCGCTAAAGTCTTAGCAACAATCTTATATAAAACATTGCAAAGAACAATTAGCCTACAGTCTGATAAAGTAGTAGCATGATTAGTTTTAGGAATTAAAGCAAGGGTTGTTGCTTTACCTCCACTAGGGAGGTAACCCTTGAGGAAAAATGAACGGATAGCCTTGCAAAGAGAGGGAGCTAAAATATGCCAGTCAGATTTGTAAAAATGAAAATTAAAGCCATCAGGTCCTGTCGCAGAAGAAGAGGTGCCAGAAAATACAGCACTTTTAATTTCATCATCAGAGACATGCTGAATACAAATTATAAAATGCCAAAATATCCATTTTAGTTACATGCAAAAATGTACAATTCTTAATGCTATAGAGCGAATGCTCTGCTTAATCTGAAGCACTCATCGTCCCTATACAAAGCCCAAAATTGGCAAAGCCACCCGACCACATACCAATCATAGCAAGATAAATGAACTCACGTTTAAGGCCCTGGAAACTTCACAGTTTCTTAACTGACCAAACAAGCAAGAAATAAGCTTCATTGCTTCTTAGGCTTCGTTTAGGTCGGCTTTCTTCTTGCTTTTTAAAATAGCTTTTAATATAAAAATTTCTTGAATTTGAAAATTTTATACTAGAAAACCGTTTTAAAAAATAGTATGAAAGCTGTCCCAAACGAAGCCTTAACCGATAGGACTTAACTGATCACCACTTGAGGCCACATAACCAATGAAGTAACTGGGAATGTACTGAGAATATGCAGGTTTTCTGTGTTGATTGTAGTAATCCATAATTCTCCAGCAAGCTTTTGTTCTCTTTTCACTTCCATAGTTGAGGTCAAGATCCTTGGGAAGCTGGGAGGTTTGTAGAATAGACAACTCCAATTTACATTTTGTGTTTTGATACCCACTGTGTTCTTCTTTGTTGATGCTTTTCATGAATTCCTCCTTGATAGAGCTGAGATCAAAGCCAGCACGGCCCAGAGATGATAAGCCCCAGTAGAAAACAACATTAGGGTTATCCACGTTGGAATCTACATATTCTTTAGGGTTTGGGTCACAGAATCCATGCTCCCTCTCTAGCTGAATTACAACTAAAAAGATTTTAGGGTTACAAAGTTACATAAAAGAGAGAATAGGTATGAATCACCGTAGTAAATAATTGGGATAAAATTATGCAAATGAAACCAAAATCAAATCAAGAATTAGTAAAAACATAACCTTGAGAAGAAGGCCGGGTAATCGGGACTTAACCCAGCCTGCCCAGTCCTGCAGCTCATCATGATCTGGAGCAATAAGGCAAATCCTAACAAAATAGTTATAACTCTCAGTGAATGGGAAATGGTTAAAAAGATGAGACCATTGGAAATCTAGCCTCCCCTGGTCCTGCAATAAGCCAGAAAATCATATTTAGCATTATTAATGATAAGCTAACAGAAAGAAAAATAGCAAATAACGCAGTTCTTGGAAAAGAAATCAGAAATTTAATAAAAATTCACGGTGCAAAAGAACAAGGTTAAGTGAATTAATGTCAATTATTTATGAATGTAGATATTTCGCCTTAAGGGTTATTTGGTTAGCTGTAAAATAAATGCAGAATAGAGTAAATACTTTGAGGGTTTTTAGTTGTCTGTAAAGTGAATGTAAGGGAACAATTTTTTCTATTTGGTTGAGTGCATGCAGAGTAAAGTAAAATCAGCTCATTTCCCCAACATAAGACACATTTGCGGCTCCGGGTTCCCGCCCGAGGTGGTCTGACCATCCTGTAGCTCCAAGTTCCTACATGGAGTGGACAAATCAACCAAAAGTGGAAAGGCATACCTCGGAGTAAACTACCTGTACACGTCTCCTGCGTCGTTCTCTGACCCAACACCCATCTTCACCTGTACCGTCGGACTCCCACACATGTGAGAAAACTCGCCTCTGCTTACTCCATGCACAACCGCTCCCTTCTGCCTCCACCTGCTCCACGCATAAATGCTCTGGTCTTGCCTCCATCCTTCTTACACAAGCGAACCCGCCTCCGCCTGCTCCACACACTAATGGCTCTCGTCTCGCCTTCGCTCGTCTCACGTGAACGAGACCCGAAGCTGCACATCCACAGCTCTTCCCACACGTGAATCTGCACCGTCCGGCCTCCCTTTCGTCTATCTTCTCTGATTCTTGCATACACCTCTTTCTTTTGCACCGGCGAAATTCCTTTTTCATTCAGTTTTGAGCGGGTTCACTCTAAGCCGAAAATGCACAACCGCGGGGAGTTCAGAATGCATTATGAATTTACTTTACTTTACCCGATAACCAACCAAACACATAAAAGTGAAAAAAGCAAAGCATTTTCTATGCTTTGCATTTACTTTTCCTCCAACCAAGCAGCCCCACCTTAAACCAACAGAGATATCAGATCTATCATGGAGCAAGAACTAAGAAAGAGAGTGCATCATGGCATTGCCTAACGATCGTTAAGCAAAAGTAAGAGAATTGAAACCACATGCTGCTAGCATCAATATGGATTCATGTAGTAGCCTATCCTAGCATGGAAAAACTCAAAGCTACAACCCCCTGCAATCAATGTGTATTCAAAGCCCTACTTATACAATGTGGAGAAATTCTGGGTCTCATGATTGTACTCCTAGCCCCCAACTATTGTGAGTTTTTATTGCAGCAATTGCATATAAGCTAATAACAATCAAATATAATGAGCATATATAAATGATGGGTTTCTGTGGTAATCTCAATAAGGTAAGATCTCCTACTTCGTTCAATATTGTGCCTAATTAGGTTATGTAACGTTGATATTTACACGGAAGTAAAACTAAACAAAAGCAACATCTGTATATAAAATCGATAATAGTTCAACAATCAACATCCTGGAATAGCTTCGTCTTAGCAAAAGATGACTCGTTTTTTAGAGCCCAAACAAGAATTTCAACTTCGAGCTATGCAGCTCCAGCTTTCCCTTAAAAAAAGAAACTATATTTACACCATTCCAGGAAATGGAGTATAAGTAGAGTAAATATCCTCTACCCTAAGATGTAGGCTACTTAAAATCACACAAGTCCATATCTTTAAGGCCAAATTTTCGAAACCAACATGGTTGAAGCCAAATTTAGGGGAAAAAGCATAAATCCGAAATAATTTTAAAAGGAGCAAACGCGATGAACCATCTGGTGTAATATAAGAATACGCTTTCTTGATCGGAGCATTGAACTGTTCAGCGCATTCTTAGAATGCGCGTACCTGTTTGGCGCATTAAAGTTTGGCGCATTCTTTGAATGCGCCTAACAGGTTTGAGTTTCGCGCATTTCACGTGAGTTTGGCTATAGCAAAATGAGTTTTCGTACATTCATGTAATGATTGTGATGTTTGAAGTTATGATATGTCAATGATACATTTTTGTTTGAGAAAGAAAAATATTTTATTGTTGGGTTTCTTTATTGTTTATAGCCTTTTGATTTTTTTTAATATATTATCTTATCGTAGTTATTAATAATAATAATAATAATAAAATTACAAATTTTCTATAATTTTTTCTATTTGTTTTTTTCATGAGTGACAATTTATTTTTTGTATGATAATATTCGCTCATTATCGTACTTTTTTTAAAAAAATTAATTTATAAAAATGTTATAATTTTAATAGTAAAACTTTTTATTAAATAATTTAAAATTTTGATTTTAAAATTATTAAATAATAGAAATATTTAATTTAGTAGATTGAATTGAATTTAAAATTTCACTAAAACTTTCTTTGTTAAAATCATAAAATGTAATAAAATCAACTTAGAGATTTTTAAGATAATTAGCAGCATAATCATACATATCAAATAATACTCTTGTTATACATATCAATACACACCCTTGTCATATCCTAAACACATGTCATACACGAGCTTGAAGTTGTGTTTGTATTGGACAACATTTGAAATGGAACATAAATCCGTGTTGGAGCCCCTTTAGAAAATTTAATGATATGAGGTGGTCTCCATGTTGCAAAATTTATCCTGTAGCAATTTCTAACCAACATCTCGAAGTTGAAAGTCAGGTTTATATTACCTTAATTTCATAACATCATCATTTTCATGCCATAGGATGACATCCTCGTCTTCCCCCCAAGTATGCATAACACATCTAGAAATTTCATTCGTTATTGTTTTTGCTTCTAGGATCTCATCTATAATATAAGCCAAACTTTCATGTAAACGACTACTTCTTTCTTCAATCAGTTGCTGCGTCGATGCGCCTCTTATTGTTTTAATGATAGAAGAGTACATTTTGTAGTAATGAAGTTTTTTCTTCCTTAACAAATGTATTCCTATATAACATGAAAAAAAAAAGATGATGTAAAATAACTAAAAAAATTATGGATTTTATAAATAAAAATAACGTATACTAATACATATTGGATATTAAGTTATAGTTAAAATAAGATAGAAATATAATACTTAATGTAGTACTTTATTATTAAACTTTAATCATTATGTTAGAGTACTATTCTAATTTTTATTAATTAGTTGATCTGATATTATAAAATATAACATAAAATCCATAATGATTAAAGTATCACATCAACTAATTAATAAAAATTACAATAATACTCTAACATAATGATTAAAGTTTAATAATAAAGTATTATATTAATTATTATATTATTATCTTATTTTAACTATAACTTAATATTCAATATGTATTAGTATACATTATTTTTATTTATAAAATCCATAATTTTTTAGTCATTTCACATCATCTTTTTTTCCATGTTACATAGGAATACATTTGTTAAGGAAGAAGAACTTCATTACTACAAAATGTACACTTCTATCATTGAAACAATAAGAGGCGCATTGACGCAGCAACTGATTGAAGAAGGAAGTAGTCATTTACATGAAAGTTTGGCTTACAGTACAGATGAGATCCCAGAAGCAAAAGGAATAATGAATGGAATTTTTAGAAATGTTATGCATACTTGGGGGAAAACGAGGATGTCATCTTATGATACGAAAATGATGATGTTATGAAATTAAGACAATATAGGTATGGCTTTCAACTTCGAGATGTTGGTTGGAAATTGCTACAAAATAAATTTTACAATATGGGGGGCCACCTCGTATCATTAAATTTTTTGAAGGGGCGTATTCGAGAACTTGGTCGTGACAAAGAATGTATATTTAAGCCGGGGATGGGAAGGTCGATATTTGATATAGATCATGGTATTTTATACCATTATTGGTGCCCTAAAGAAGATAAATGACTTTTAGACAACTATAAAATGCTGATGCAAGATTCTCAAGATAGAAAGGAAAATTTTTTTTTAAATGACGAAGATTGGAACCAACTTCAACACGGATTTATGTTCCAATTCAAATGTTGTCCATCCAACACAAACACAACTTCAAGCTCGTGTACGACATGTGCTTAAGATATGACAAGGGTGTGTATTGATATATATGAATGGAGTATTATTTGATATGTATGAATATGATGTTAATTATCTTAAAAACCTCTGAGTCGGTCTTATTATATTTCAACAAAGAAAGTTTTAGTGAAATTTTAAATTAAATACAATCTACTAAATTAAATATTTATATTATTTAATAATTTTAAAATCAAAATTTTAAATTATTTACATTTATTTATAATTACTAATACTATACTATTTTCTTCAATTATTTAATTTACTCATTTTATTTATTTTATGAAAAATAATGTATTCCATAAATGGACTTTTTTATTTTATCCAAAAACAAATTATTTACAAATTTAATTATAAATAAAATAAATTATAATATATACTCTCTTTAAATCTTTATTATTTTTCTGTTTAAAAATTTTAATTTAATTATATCTTATTTATCTTTATATATTATATTATAATTCAACTTATATTTCATAAATATTTCAATTAAGTTATAAATACCTATATTTAAAATTATTATTCTCCAATTATTAATCCATTCATTCAAAATTATTTAAACATAAAAACTTATATAAAAAAATTTACTATTAAAATTATAACATTTTCATAAATTAATTTAAAAAAATATGATAATAAGCGAAAATTATCATATGAAAATAAATTGTCACTCATGAAAAAACAAATAGAAAAAGTTATAGAAAATTCAAAATTTTATTTTAATTATTATTAATAATAACTATGGTAAGATAATATGTTTAAAAAAAATCAAAAGACTATAAATAATAAAGAAACCCAACAATAAAATATTTTCATTTCTCAAACAAAAATTTATCATTGGCATATCATAACTTCAAACATCACAATCATTACATGAATGCATGAAAATTCATTTTGCTGCAGCCAAACTCACGTGAAATGTGTGAAACTCAAACCTATTAGACGCATTCAAAGAATGCGTCGAACTGTTACGCGCATTCTAAGAATGCGCTGAACAGTTCGGTGCATTCTTTGAATGTGCTGATCAAGAAAGCGTATTCTTATATTACGCCAGATGGTTCAGCACATTTGCTCCTTTTAAAATTATTTCGGAATTACTTTTTTCCCATAAATTTGACTTCAACCATGCTAGTTCCGAAAATTTGGCCGATAGGAAATACTATAATATTTCAAGTAAACCCTAAAAAAGATAGAGAAAAACAACAAATGATTCACACAAAATCTGAAGGAAACCCCTCCAAACAATAATTTGATTTCACGAGAGAGAACTAACAGAAACGACGAAAGCAAAGATACAATTGATCCTCAATTTGAGAGGAGGATGGTTCTCTCCCACTCTCTAGACGAATCTACAGCAGAAGACACCAAGAAAAAGCTCTCACAAGAACCCAATAATCAAAATATAACCCTAAACCTAATTCCCTCATCCTATTTAAAGCATACAATGACTAAGGAGCCTTTGCCGCCCCTCCTTTCCCTCCAAAGAATTTGAATTTGAAGTTTTAGTGGACCCCACTCTCTCTCTCTGCCGCCACCCCTCCTTAAATAAACAAGAACCGGTCCAAAGAGTTTGAATTTGAAGTTTTAGTGGACCCCACTCCTCTCTCTCTTTTTGCCGCCGCCCCTCCTTAAATAAACAAGAACCGATCCCCTAGGGACCGGTCTAACAACTTGCTGACCACAAAATTAAACAGGGACAAATAAACTAAACGCATTAATGGAACAACGCTTTCATAAGCAATAAAACCTAAGTGAAAAATACAATCAAAATAGTCTGCATGTAGAAAACAGGAAGTTCACCTTTGTGATGTCATAACCACGCTTAATTTCTTTCATAATTTTCCTGAATGTGCCTCTTGTTATGTTGGAATTACACCAATCAAATGGACTGCAAGGCATCAGGATGGGCATAAAGTAGCGCTCATCAGGATTCTTTGATGGTATTGATTGGTCTTGTAGAAAAACTGGCTTTGGCCATGGCCAATTAGAAAACGTCTCAAAGAACAATGTTATGAGAGCACTTATACTAGCATTAGGATATCTTTGGCAAACAAAAGCTGCCAGTATTGCAAGATGAATCCCCCCAAAGAATCCAAGTAACTGCAAGGGTAAAACTTTTATTGCATGCTCAATCTAAATAGATTTTAGAAAAAACATAGAAGTTCGATACTCACATTAGAATAAAGTCCACGTCTTAGGGCCCATAACTTCATGCATCGCAACATTGCTTGGAAGTGCTACACGATAAAACAAAGAAAAAAATAAATAAAGATTCACTGATTTGTCATAAATATTTTTCTATTTGATACGATTTTGACCACCATCAAAGTAAGAAAAATACCCAAACCATGTTCTTTATCAAAGTAAATAAGAGAGGATTTGGGTAATTGATTCCAAGCCCAAAACTTTTGTAATAATAATGAAAAGAAATGAAGAAATGGGGTATCATTTCCTAAGAACCTTAAAACATTAAATTAATTGCTAAGACATTGATCAGAGAAGTTGAATGGGACATTGAATCTATATTATAGGAGATGAATTTCAAAGGAAAGAAACAATCTATAATAGTACAAAGAAAATCTCACATGCAACTATCAAAAGCCATTTCAAATCTATTTCAAAATTGACATTCTCATTATTTTTGATAGTACAGTGACTCAATACATGGGCAACAATAATATAATCGATAGGTCGAATTCCCTCTATTTAAGCAACATGAGAGACAACAAGCACTTTGAGCAGAAAACCTTTGAATTTGTTAACAAGCAGTTGTGAGACTTTTGAAAGCTCCATTAACCGAATTGTTTTCTCTTTTAGGAACCGGACAAATGAAAATTGAACTCTATTCAGCAAAGGAGGCTTTGCCCAAATAAATATCTTCAAACATAAATGCCAAATTAGATTGTATAATTTCTCACAATTTGATTAAAAAAAAAACATAAGAGAAATCATTAAGACAAAAAATAGTCATTTTGATTTCATCTAGAAAACAGAATAAGAATAATCTTGAAAATAGAACTTACTAAAGTTAACAAGAGAGTTGAAGGCCTCTCAATTATTGCTATAAGCTTTCGTAGTAAGAAAAAAAAAATGCAAGAAAATAATGAATGGTTGATCAGAAATAACATGTTTATTCACTTTGGTTTAATGAATGAACTTATTTTTTATCCCCTCTAGTTAGTAATTTTCAAAGGAAATAATCTCAATAAAATTACACGTTTCCCAAAATTAATTTCTTATCACTACACATCTAAAGCATGATGTTGTCTTTTCCAAAACTTAAGCCTTCTAATCAATATCAAAGTTTAGACACCAAATGCTTCGTATCATCTCCACATTAATAAGGAAATATTTCCGCTAGGAAATAACCAAATTTTTAAACCAATACTTTTCAAAACTAAATAATCTCGATTTGAAAATAGGAGCAAGATTAGAATAGAAGATAACTAGATAGTGTTCAAATGATAAATTATTCAATGTTTTTTAGCCACCGTTAGAAAAAAATGCTATCTCATTAAGGGGAGAAAATATATGTCAAGCTTGGCAAAAATTTCATTTAGATCAAGTAAATCTATGACCCGTCAGAGAAAGATCAATAAAAATGAATAAGTTTGATAAAGTATATAAAGAGATCAGAGGGTAATTTCCTGCTATTAGCAAATCTTTTACAAAAAGCAATGGTATCATTGATGTCAACATAAAGAATCCAATCAGAAGATCATCAAGCACCAATATTGTAAAGTCCATTCTTAAAAAGCTGCTTATCATTCTATAATGAAGAGCACAGATACGGTTCAAATAAATTTTTTGATAAAATCAACAGATTGAAGTAAAAGAGTGATAAAAAATCTAACAATCTAAGAAGACTGGACATTTCCATAATTAAGATGAATTCTGTTATGCCGGTCCAGCTTGGACCGGCTCTACCTGGACCGGCCCAGCCGGTCCAGTTCTATTCGCGACGGACGCAGAGGAGCCGCGCGGAAGAGAGAGGGAGCCAGGGAGTGGGGTCCACTTGCAATTCAAACATGGGTTAAGTGTTTTTGGAGGGAGAAGGAAGGGTAGAGTAGTCCTTTTGCTTTTAATTTGTATTAGATTGTTTTAATAGGGAGTTATGAGGGGAATTAGGGGGATCTTGATTTTGAATTTCTTGGGAGATCTAGGGTTTGTTGTTCTTGGGCTCTTGGCGTTGCCGGAGATCGTTGGAGAGTTTTTCCTTCCTCTCGAATTGAAGGAAAGTTGTATCTTGCAAGTGCTTTTCATCCTTTATTGAAATAAAAGCGTTTGCATCGTTTTTCTACGTTTCTCCCTACGTTTTCTCTCAGTATTTTCACTGTTTGAGCTGTGTTCTTGCTGCGGACAGCAGTTTACTTGGCTTAGGTATTTGATTTGGGTTAGGTTTACTTGTGCAAACGAGTATTTCCTATCAAATTCCACCACTGAACCTTCAACAGTTTTTATAGGCCCCATATTTTAGAGCCACCAACGGATATAAGAATGCCCAGAAAGAGATCAAATTATTAAAAAACAAATAATATACAGCTTCTACTTATTGACCCCCTCACAAATCATCTTTCTTTTAAATTTAAATCCTAAAACCATAAACATTGATTCCAAGTCCTAATGTTTATTAAAAAGGAAAAAACACAATAAGAATCTCCAGAGAAGAAAGAACTAAGCACGGTGGAAGGGTTGGGGAATATAATCCTCCAGACCCAAAACCTAAGAGATTAGGAAAACATGATTTGGATTGAAGGATATTGGATCTCTAGACCCACAATTTTTTTTTTTAATGATATAGACTTCACTTAGTCTGCTCAGAATTGAGCAAAGTGAAAGACAGTAAGGTGGGCGTGTTGGAGAATCTTAAGGGGAACAACTTCAACGATCCAATATCTGAAAAAAATGGAGCAACCATCTAATGACATCTTATGAGATCATTAAGGTTGTTGTGGGCTCCGAAAATTCGGCCCCGGCCTCCGCTTGCTTTTCTTATTCGGCGAGGGAGTTTTAATGAACTAAGTTCCGAGGTAAATTTTGGAAGGCAGATGGGTTTGTAGATAAGACACTACCCAGAGATTTCGCCCTCATTTTGTGAGGACTTTATGATCTGAGTTCTGGTTGTTTCTTTGTATAGAGGTTAACAGTTGTCAACTAGAAGGAACCTATTGTATTTGAGTCTAGAGTTGATAGGACACAATTTGTACTCTGTGGGAACACTAGCAAAAGGAGCAGCTGAAGTCAAATTCTTCCTATGTTCCAAAATGGGAACAGAATATCGCCACAATTTTTAAGAGGAAACCAAATCAGGCATTAAGGGGGAGCAGATCTCTTTCCTGGAAGAAAGTTCAGTTTAAGATTAATACAAACCGTGACAGTTGGAGCCAACTCAAGAATGATGTTTCCATTACCAGCAACAGGCAGAATAGAAGCTGGAATGGGGGAGATGAATACTTTTCATATTTGAATTCTCCTTGCCAAAGCTGCCAACAAAATTAAAGGAGCAGCTATCATAGCTTCCACGGTATTGTTAAGATCAGAAGAGAACAATTCCTCCATGATTTCATCTTTGTATGTTAGAACAAAATTCCATTCCACGAGTAATTTACAGTTCATATAGGATTTATACGGGTATGCTGGATGAATAGAACTAAGCAAAATCACAAAAAAAGCTTTGTGCATAAAATTTATTCAACAACTGTGACTTGGGCAAATGGTACATGAAAGCTGCATCACCAATGCCCCTCCATTGTGTGCTGTTCAATTGCACCATTAGGAACAGTACGCACATCATGCATGAAACATAAAACTAAAGGGGCGAGAAGCAGAGAGCAGATCTAATGTGGACTCATTCTCATTGGGAGTATTCCGCAGGCTTATTACACCGTGGAGAACCAGTTTTTGTTTTGCTGCTTTTTTCTCCACTACCGTTATTACTATAGTTGGCACCTTAGTACACACACTTTTACTCTTTGCTTACTAGCTTTTAGTAAAGTTACCCTCTGTTATATGAGGATGAAGAAACACCTTGGAAATTATTCTCTTTGATAGTTAATACTACTCGTTACAGGATTACTGTTGCATTATTTGTGTTTTTGTTCTCTGTTTTTCTTCCATCTTGGGTGCTTCCACAGCAATCTGGTATTAGAGCTCGGTCGCGACTAATGGTGAAAAGCAGTAGACAACCCGCGCTTGACGGAGATCAAGGCGAAAGCCCTGTGTGAGATATCCAGTCCAAGATCATTAAGCAATTGGAGGAACTCAAGACTTGAGTTCCGTCGATTTTCCACAAAGGTACGCTTGGAGTTACAGAGTATCAAAGCTGGAGGTAGTAATGTCCAACTGCCACCGCCAGTAGCATCTCCGCCCCATCGGGCAGGCCCTCCACGGGCAAGAGGCAACCGACAAATGCGCCAGGATGCTCCGGAGTTGACGGATTCTGAAGTTGATGTGGTTGTGCGGCAACATGATAATGCGTCTGATTCAGACGACGATGATATCCCCCATTATTTTCCTCCGCCGCGTCATCGTCATGAAGCACCACTAAGGCATTACGGAGAATTTAAGGTCAAAATGGATATTCCATTTTTTTATGGGAAACTTCATATCGAGGATTTTCTAGATTGGGAACGGTCCGTAGAGACGTTCTTTGAATATATGGATATTCCTCTACAAAAACAAGTAAAATATGTAGCATGCCGCTTGAGAGGCGGAGCTAGCGCTTGGTGGCAGCAATTGTTACAGGCTCGGCAGCGAGAGGGGAAAGGCAATGTTCGGCAGTGGACAAGGATGAAGCAGCTGTTAAGGAACCATTACCTGCCGACAGATTACAAGCAACTAATCTACATGAAATTTCAACAATGTATGCAAGGGCAACGAAGTGTGAGCAATTATACAGAAGAATTATACCGCCTTAGTGCTCGCAACAATCTTAATGAAACCACTAATCAAATAGTAGCTCGGTATATTGGGGGGTTGAAAGAATCCATACAAGACAAGCTCGAGCTGAATTCTATTTGGTCCTTGTCACAGGCTGTCAACTTGGCATTAAAGGCGGAAATGCAAATCAATAGGGCCTTCCTGTTCATTCCAACAGCGCCGGCATTTCAGTGACTTCACTGCTTCAGACAATCGGGGTCAAGTCTCTGTTCAGACCAACACCCCAAAATCAGCTCATAAACAAGTTTCCCCAACCACGTTACCTCCGCCAACAGGTGACAACAAATTGCAACACAAAATGAAAGGTCCTGCCAGAGAAAATTCCTATGGCCGGCCAACAACTTTGACGTGCTTTCTATGCTTTCAACCAGGGCATAAATCTAATGAATGCCCGAACCGACAGCAATTACGACTCATAGAAGGGGACTCCGAGCAACACATAGCTCCGACCGAAGCGGAACTTGAAGAGGAGTATGAAGAAGTCATTGGAGATGAAGGAGATCCGGTCTTATGTGTGCTACAAAAGCTCTTGCTAGCACCTAGCCATAACACAAATTCCCAAAGGAATACTATTTTTAGATCAAAATGTACTATAAAAGGGAAGGTATGTGATCTCTTAATTGATAATGGGTGCACATAAAATATTATTTCAAAAGCGGTGGTGCAGGCCCTACAGCTTAAAACCACTAAGAATCCAAATCCGTATAAGATCAGTTGGGTAAAAAAAGGCCTAGACATTCAAGTGTCTGATATGTGCCGGGTCACCTTTTCAATTGTGAAACATTATAGAAGTGAGATACTATGCGATGTCCTGGACATGGATGTTTGTCATCTGATCTTGGGCAGACCGTGGCAGTTCGACGCCGGCGCCATATATGATGGACGGGCTAATGCATATTCGATCGAATGGAAGGGTCGTAAGTTGCGACTGCTACCAACTGTTTCGGGCATCGCAGGTGAAAATTCTGAGGGCAAACCAGCCCTTGGCATTGTCACGGGCAATTCACTTCTGAAGGTTGGACGTGAAGAGAAGTATATTTTTGACCTGGTTATGGCAGAAGCAAATGATGTTCAGAAATGGGAAGAACACCCACCCGAGCTTTTCCAACTTTTGCAAGAGTTCTCTGATATAACTCCATCAGAACTTCCTAATGATATTCCGCCTCTGCGTTCCATATAGCATCAGATAGACTTTGTAGTTTGTACCAGGCGCTTCTCTACCAAATTTACCACATTACAAAATGAGCCCGATCGAACACGTACAACTGCAAAAAATTATTGACGAACTACTGCATAAACAACTCATTCAGCCTAGCCTGAGTCCGTGCGCTGTTCCGGCTCTATTGGTCCCAAAGAAAGACGGGTCGTGGATTATGTGTTTTGATAGTCGGGCTATCAATAAAATTACAATTAAATATCGGTTCCCGGTCCCTTGTGTGGAAGATATGTTAGATTATCTTGCGGGTGCCAAGGTATTCTCAAAATTAGACTTGAGGAGTGGATACCACCAGGTCAGGATTCGGCCCAGCGACGAATGGAAGACGGCATTCAAAACAAGCAGTGGCCTTTTTGAATGGAGAGTTATGCCCTTCGGGTTATGCAATGCGCCAGCTACATTTTTGCGGGTAATGACAGAGGTTCTAAAACCTTTTTTGGGAAAATGTTGTGTGGTTTACTTCGATGATATCTTGGTGTTCAGTTTGTCCCAAGAGGACCATTGGAAGCATTTAAGGTGCATATTTGATTTGCTTTGCCAACATAAACCATTTTTGAACAAGGCCAAATGCGAATTTGCCACTTATGCAGTACATTTTTTGGGTTATATAATTTTCGAGGAAGGCATAAGCATGGATCCCAACAAATTTGCCATCATACAACAATGGCCACAGCCGCGTACACTAACCGAAATTCGTAGTTTCCATGGATTGGCTAACTTCTACATACGGTTTATACGCGGGTTCAGCATAATAATGGCCCCCATCACTGATTGCCTGAAAGCCAGCTCTTTCAGATGGGGAATGGAACAGCAGTGAAATTTTGACACTATCAAGACGGCACTCACTTCCGCCCTAGTATTAGCAGCTCCAGATTTTCGTAAAGCCTTCCGCGTCGACACGGGCGCATCAACTGTGGGGATTGGCGCCATGTTATCTCAAGACGAGAGACCCATTGAGTTCTTCAGTGAGAAATTAAGCCCGACGAGACAAAAATGGTCGGCGTATGAACAAGAGCTATATGCGGTAATTCGAGCACTTAAACAATGGAACATTATCTCCAGCACCATGACTTTGTTTTATGCAGTGACAACCAAGCATTACAATTTCTGAACACCCAGAAAAACATAAATAGGATGCATGCGAGATGGGTCGTCTTCTTGTAAAAATTTAGTTTTGTACTAAAGCATAAATCTGGACAACAAAATAGAGTGGTCGATGCTTTAAGTAGACGCTCCGCCCTCATCACTCAACTCCAAACCGAAATAACTGGCTTGGAAGCTCTCAAGGACCTTTATTGTGCTGACAAAGATTTTGCCTCTCCGTGGGAACGTTGCTTGGCTGGACAGCCCTTTGATATTATACTCTTCGGCACGGGTTTTTATTCAAAGGGAATTCCTTGTGCATCCTAGCTTCCTCTGTCAGCCCATTTGGGCAGAGAAAAAACAATTGAGCAAATGCGGTCACGTTTTTTTTGGCCGCATCTCCGCAAAGATGTGGCGAGATATGTGCAAAGTTGTCCAGTGTGCCAAGTCTACAAAGGTTCAAGCCATAATACAGGTTTATACAGTCCACTTATAGTTCCGATTTCGATTTGGAAGGATCTCAGCATGGATTTTGCTCTCGGCTTGCCGCAAACAAAGAAAGGAGTAGATTCAATTATGGTGGTAGTTGACAAATTCTCCAAGATGGCCCACTTCATAGCTTGTAAAAAAACATCTGATGCACTTGGAGTTGCCCATTTGTTTTTCAGGGAAATTGTTCGCCTCCACGGATTGCCCCGGAGTATTATGTCCAATCGAGATGTCAAGTTTGTGAGCCACTTTTGGCGGGAACTGTGGAAGCAACTGCAGACAGTCATTAAATTAAGCTCGGCATATCACCCCCAAACAGATGGGCAAACGGAAGTAGTGAATCGCACTCTAGGCAATATGCTACGTTGCTTAGTACAAGGCAACCCGAAGAAGTGGGACGAAGCTTTGAGCCAAGCTGAGTTTGCATATAACTCGATGCCGAACCGATCCACCGGTATGTGCCCCTTTAACATCGTCTACACTAAACCTCCTAACCATCTTGTAGATATCACTGTTCTACCGAGATGCCACAATGCGGCGGCAACAAAGTTAGCTGGCGACTTCAAGACCATGCTGGATACCGTTCGTGACAAATTGCAAGCCTCCAATGACTCATATAAGCAAGCAACCGATGTACACCGATGCTCTAAGAGTTTCCAACTGGGAGAACTAGTTATGGTACGCTTGAGGAAAGAAAGATTTCCAGCTGGAACATACTCAAAGCTTAGTCCAAGGAAGATCGGTCCAGTGGCAATCAAGCATAAAATCAGTGGCAATCAAGCTTATGTAGTAGATCTTCCACCAGACATCCTAACATCCGCCACCTTCAACGTGGCCGATATTAGCCAATACCATCCCATGGACAGAGCGGCTACTGAGATCGAGTCGTCGGAGAAGAACTCTTCCGGAGTGGGGGAGGGCTGATGTGGACTCATTCTCATTGGGAGTACTCCGCAGGCTTATTACACCGTGGAGAACCAGTTTCTGTTTTGCTGCTTTTTTCTCCACTACCATTATTACTATAGTTGGCACCTTAGTACACACACTTTTACTCTTTGCTTACTAGCTTTTAGTAAAGTTACCCTCTGTTATATGAGGATGAAGAAACGCCTTGGAAATTATTCTCTTTGATAGTTAATACTACTCGTTACAGGATTACTGTTGCATTGTTTGTGTTTTTGTTCTCAGTTTTTCTTCCAGCTTGGGTGCTTCCACAGCAAGATCTCATACCAAACTTGAGTTTAGTAGGACAGAGCAGGAATGTTGACTAAAGCTAGAATAGTTGCTTAATCAATATAGCCACAACCACAATAATAGCACAAAATGCTTCCGACTGGAGATGCCATAAAAATAAAATCAACAAACTTAATATTACAATCATTGGTGTATCAAATGGGCTAAAACCAAGCCCATTGAACTAAGCTCTTCAAAATCCATTGTGCTAGAACTACCTCGTGTAAAATGATTTTGGAGTGCAAAACTTGTTTAGGCATATTTACAATTTAATTCATTTCTCTTATAAAAACTCAATATAGAATTCAAATTGATCGGCCCAACTTTAATCATGTTGGGCGTCGAAGTCACACACCTAATAAAAACAACCAAACCTAGAAAATTGCACAATTTTTTTGGTTGAATCAAGCAAATTGAGTTTTGATCCAAGATTTTGAACTCGAAACTCATGTCAAGTTGAAATTGAGTTTATGATAGTTTAATCAAAATCAAATTTGAGAAGGCTTGAATGTATTATGTAATTATGCCTCTCTCTCTCTCTCTCTCTCTCTAGAATATGACATTTCAGAAGAGGATATGTTTCAATAGATATCCCAACAAAATTTTTCTTTCGTTCCATTTGATTAGGGAGCAACAAAAATAAGTGTAACAGGAGATAGGTGACAGCAGCTAGCAAGCAGCGGTGGGCAAAATGATAAACAGGCTTATTGCTTGATCTTGGGCATATCAGTGCCAGCCAATTTAAGCTCATGTCCAATAAGGCTCTTAAAGGTCAAGCTCAAGGACTAAATGTGCAACCTGCCCTAATGGATATCGATATAAGATGTTGTACAATCCTGCAATAATGATTATAAACTAATCCGTATATCACTTAACATGAGTTCAAAAGGAAAAAAAAAAACATTTTTAAGTCACAGCCCAAGCCATAGTAATCAATGTATAATCTACCCCATAATTACCTTAAGAAAATCACATGAATATTGGAAAATACTCTCATATCAGGTTTAAATTTCATTTATTTATTATATATATAACCCTAGCCTAGACTTTCAAAGAAACTCAACAATACTGTGGGCATTTCATTTTCTGCAGGACAGTCTTCTCTTAAGCATTAACAAACTCAAGAAATCTATTAGAGATGATACAAATAATCTCAAAAAAATAAATCAATGTAGCTACAAATACTAAAGGAAAGTCAATTTTGAATAAGTTTGAAGATATCCATACCTTCAAGTTTGGCACCAATTGAAGGATGCGTTGATTAACCCTGACTCCAGAAAAACTTCTCTGACTCGTTTCATCAGGAATCACTAAGCATGGATCAAATATGTTCACATCCTGCAATTTCAAGGAAAAAGTAGAGTGCAAGATGTTACTAAAAAGAAAAAATAAGAAAAGTTACACATTTTTTCAATCGCACTGCAATTCAACGACAGCTCTAAAATTGATTACTAACACAAAGATTACACAATTATGATTCAACGCCTACTTCTAGAATACAATCTTTTATTAAAGACTTTTGAGGCATAATCTACTAACATCAATCACCTTTGGCCAAAGTAATGTCCTTCAAATTTTCCTGATCGTATGGTTCAAGGTATCACATGTTTCCAGTTCACATCTAGCTATGAATTTAGCTTGAAAATCACATGGAAATCTAATCAGTTTTGGTTTAGATCAAAATCATCAAGACAAACTTGGTTCAATTCAAACTTTACGTGAGCTCAGCTTAGATCAAGTCAAGCTCAGCTCGAGATTGGATCAGGATGTATATACAGGTCATCCATCCTAGACGTGGACAACACCAATAGATGCTTCTGTCTTCGACTCAAGTGACAAGTGACAACAATAAGTTAGAAAGGGAAAGCACCAGTGCCTCAAAGATCTTTTGCAGCAATTGAAATCTGCTCTCCTCCTCAAACCCATTGAAAGGGATCATTATCACTAATAAGGGGATGCCTGAGGGCGGCCAACACAGGTTAGTGGATAAAATTCCTTACATGGGGGTGACAAGCCACCCGTGAAGCTCTAGACTTCTGAAATGGTGCATAGTTTAGGCTACTTCTGAATTGTTTCGATCTTCTGTGAATCTATTTGTAGCTCTTCTCAGTCTATGATGAAGCCAACATAAGCAAATATGAGGCTATTTAACTTGCATTTATTGAGATTCATCGTAAATTTGGCTTCTTGTAGAAAGGCTTAAAACTTGCTCAATGTCTTAAATTTCCCAGTTGTTCTACAACAAAAAGTTTTCTAGATAAACAATTAGAAATCTATCTAAAAAAGGTGCATTACATCATTAATCAATCTTATCAAAGGTTGTTGCTGTATTGAAAAGTCCAAATGGCATCAACGATCATTCAAATAATATTGTCCAGTTTTGAAGGCAATCTAAGTTTCTTCTTCTCTAACCTGAATCTAATGGTAAATGAATTTCAAGTCTAATTAAGACTAATTTGTCGACTATAACTGGTCGATCAACTCCTCAATCCATGGTAATGAATAGAAATAGTTAATGATAACCTTGCTTCGCATCCTAAAGTCGATGCACATCTATCATATTCGACACAAGTACCATTGGTGACCCAAATGATGAACTATTCACTTAGTTATGGCAACAATTTGAAAGCCTGTGAGGGGTTGGATAATTATTCCATCGGTTATCAACCCACTTGGTTGTTGATTTCTATAGCTTGTAACTTTCGGATCACTTCTTGTAAGCCACCAAAGCTTGTGAGGGGCTCACATATTGTAGCCCTCCAATATGCACTACTTGACATATGCCACAATCATTGTTGTTAAAAGCATGCTCTGTAGAGTGCTCCACAGGAAAAACACTGCCATTGAGGGATCACATGTACCTTTATCACACGTGCAGAGAAGGCCGATTATGCGCTATGCGCTACCTAAGCAATAGTGCGGTTCTTCAGGATTCAAATTCATGCTATCAACTCAAGGATTTTTGGTTCGGCTCACACAACCAATGGTTGATTTAATACGTAGAATAAAAAGGAGAGAGAATCGCAACAGACAACTCAAGGTTAGGAAAGTGAGCAGCATGAGAGAAGTCACTCAACCTTCTCATCTCCATCAATGCTTTCTATTTGACATGCAAGCATTGCAACAACAGTGCTCCACATTTTCATCTTTGTCTACAATTTCGCCTCAACACGCAAACATCGTAGTAACAAAGCTCAACCCTTCTCATCTCTGTCTTCAATTTCTTCAGCCTCAAGCAAATGTCAGTGCTCATCCACCTGTAGATTCCTCAATACAAGCAGATGCTGAAAACTGCATTTCCTCACACATATCTTGATCTTCTAATCATCTCTAGTATGTGGTGTTCTTTATTTATATTAAAAATCTTTCCGTGTTTCTTATTAGTTAGATAGAAATTAAAAATATATATGTTATTATGTTAAGTTAAAATACTTTCTTCTATTTAGCATGTATTGTTAGGAATTAGAAAAATATAGTGCACCCTCATCTATAATGAAAACCTAAGGCAATCAAAATTATATGTGAACTTTATAAAAGATTCTTAACAAAACAACTCTGTAAATATTATAGCGCCCTCTTCCAATCATTAACATGACCTTATTGTGAAGGTAGATCGACAAACTATCTCTGCATAAAGCATTTCTTTGTAGGGTAGTAATTAGTTTCCACAACTTCAAAATTATTTTTTCCATATTCCTAATCAAGTTCTGAATAAGGCTTGGTGTTACCTGGCTTTATCTATAGGAGTGTATAAACTAAACTTTTTCGCTGGTAATTAAAAATTGATCAAAATTAGATTGATTAATAACTTAAATTGAGCTCAAATTAAAAATTGATCAAAATTAGATTGATTAATAACTTAAATTGAGCTCAAATCGAAGTTACTGAGCCATGCTTAGATTGAATAGAGTGGATGGTGCCAACCAATGAAACAAACTTTGCTCGGCTTGAGATCGAACTGAATAATTTTGAGCTGATCTCAAGCCAAAAGATCAAATTGACTTCAAATCGAATAGTTAATGACCCTACTCATAGTTGGTTATAATTTTGAAACATGAATCACATTAAAATTTACATTAATAAGAATGAGACTACTACAAAAACATTTGAAAAATTAAGAACAAAAATAATTGCTTAATTTACTTTTAGCCAAAGCACACCAAGCATTCATAATCCGTTGCACATTATAATGAAAAAATATGATTTTAACAGTTAAAAAAAATCAGTTCTAAGTTGATTCATAAATGTTTAAGATAATAACTCCAGTCACCATAAGGTCACATAATAAAAAATAAATTAGAGTATCTCTGCAATATATCATGTTATATGATGCAATTTATAGTCGCAAACAAAAAATTGTTTCATGATGGAAAGAATAATCAATTTATTCAGAGGAGAAAAAAGTATAATATAGATAGTAACGCAAGAAACAATCAATATAATAAAATTACTGACAAGATGGTACAAAAACTTCATTTGAAGATGGGTATAGTTTTGACAAAGATACTTACAGCTGGAACAGATACAACTCGTAGTTGAGCATAAGGAAAATCAATTGATATGCCATTGAACTTAAATCTCATTAAAGGAACTTTTGCAGTCTTGACACAATGTAGTTCTGATACTTCAGATCTGCTTTGAAGCATACCGTGCAAAACAGTAAAGAAATCTTCCTGCAAAGTAAACACATAGAAAGGATAAGTGCCTTTCAAAGTATCCCAAATGACTGAACCAAAAGGCAAAGCAAAACTCACTTCCATTGAAGCAAAATATGGACCAATGCACAAAGCATCAATGTCAGAATCTGAACCGTGGACCTGAATAAATAATAGAAACATTACTAAGAAACTTTGAATAAAAAATATGCTCCAGTCCACACAGGCAAAATCTAACCACAATAATGCAACTAAAGGATTGTAACTCCTCAGCCAAGCAAATGATGCCACAGAAAACATTCTTTAGCACACAAAAATTCCTTAATCAATAAACTCTAAATAACCTTTACACGGAAGAGAAGACGCCCTCTTCATTTATTGTCATTTGTAAATCAAAAACTTGCAAATTATGGTATTCTTCTTTCTTTCAAGCAAATGATTGCATCCAAAGCTGAAGATCGAATCTCACATTTCAGCTACATGAAATGCATTCAAAGCACTCTCCAGAAGAACAAATATGCATGTTCAACAGAGGGAATGTTTGGTTGAGTGAAAAAGTTGATGAAAAATACAGTATTTGCAAGCAAGATTGCTTTTTCATAGTCCACTTTCTTCACAAATCTCACGTGAATTCAGCCAAATTGACTGCATTTAAATTGTGCATTTACTTTACATGATGTTCCAAATACACCAAACCAAGAAACCCCTAAGAGAATTGTTAATTCAGTAATTTGAACTGTCCACCTTTTAGCTTTCAAGCAATTTAACAAAATTATCTAAAATTTTCATCAATGCAAATATTGTACAAGAAGATAACCCAATTATACACGATCTTTTGAAAGAAATATAAAAAAACTAATAAAACAACTACTACGAGAAAACTACCAGCAATGTTTACATTGGTCACTGCTTGTATCACTGATAAAACTTTCTAGTTCTGACAAAGTAAACAGCCGGCATTATCAACTAGCTAATTCAGAGATGCTCTCATGGATACTGCTTGGTGCCTACTAGGGGTGTAAACGAGTCGAGTTTAAGCCCTTATCGAGCTGAGCTCGTCAGTTGGAAAGAGAGCTCGAACTCGAGCTTGTCTCATTATAAATGAGCTCGAGCCGGCTCGTGAGCCATGGGTGGAAATTTTAAAATTTAGACAGGATTTTTAAAACTTAAGTGGGATTTTTAAAACTTAATCAAATTTTAGGGGGAAAAAAAAGAGATAAAATGTTCAACATTTAAATAAAACTTAGATGATTTTTATTAATTTTTTTAATATTTAAATTTAATAAATAAAATAAAATTAGTTTTAAAATATTAATATTTATTTGAGCCGGCTCGCGAGCTCACGAGCCAAGCCAGCTCAAGCTCGAACTTGAGATCGTTTAGCTCGACTCGTGAGCTTGATTAGCTCGGCTCACGAGCCCATAAGCAAGTCGAGCTTGAGCCGGCTCGGCTCACTTACATCCCTAGTGCCTACATAGATGTAGACGTATTTAGAATGCAAGCATGCATGGCTCTGATACACCTTAGGTTTCACCAATTTGTCTTTGCCCTAATTATTCTCACAAGAGAAGAATTTGTCCACCAAATGCACATAAACCTTCAAAAGAGAAATGAGATGTAGGACAAGAACATTCGCATTGAAATCCAAATGGTAGGTTGGTTTTGGTTCGTTAAGTAACGCCAATATATACAAGAGTTTTCTTGGTGGGATAGATGATTAATACTTTATAATCTTCTCTAGGGTGGGATGAATATCTTGGGACAATAGGATTTATTTTATTTGAGTGGCCCTTTGAATTTATTAATTTTTCTTCTATTTTTGGTTGTGAATGTAGACATAGGAATGCACCCAAAATTTTTGGGGTGTCGAGTATTTTTACGAAGTTCAGAAATTCAGAGTTAAAAAGAGGGCAGGATCCCCATTGGCAATTTTTTTTTAGTCCAAGGTTTTTGAAGGTAGTCAGTTTTTGAAATACATCGACAGTCAGAAGGCTTCCTTGTATGATTTAAGTACATTATGGTGGAATATAAAGTGCATGGGTGGTGGCAAGAAGGTAGTTTATTTTTTTCTTTTTGCAACCTCTATTTTGTTGTGGGGTGTGAATACAGGAAAACTCAATGAATGATACATTCCTTTCTGCAAGTAGGAGTGTCATGGTTTGGTTAAAGTAATCTTTGGTATTGTCGAAACAAAATTTGCTTTATTTCCACCCGAAGTCGGTTCCTGGATCGATGGCGTGAAATTGGGGAGGATAGTGCTGTTGAAGTTTGTTTTTGATGGAGAAAGATCCAACGAGACTTTAAAATGCATTCGTCAATGACGGATACAAACCATCGGTCCTTTGAATGTTAGAGATTTTTTAGGATCCCCAGATATCACTTTGAAAAAGGTTTAGAAGGGAGTATGGTGTTTTAGTTTTTTGTTTGGAAAAGAAACTCATTCTATGATTTGTAACTCATAGGTTTCATAATGAAAGGACTCATTTTTCAAATCAATAAAAAAAATTTTGGATACATATTTTTTAAGATATCAAAAAGATGAATGTCTTAGCATTAAAATGATAAACCAAATAGTGATTTTTTATTAATAGGGATAACATAAAATAACCCTTTTGATATAGTGTATTTGTTCAGCTCTTTCAGCTAGTAAAGTGTATCTTTTCTCCTTAGCAAGTCAATATTCTTCCTCGCATCCCTGGTCTGAAATCAACATACAAGTAGTGTTTAAATAGGCACTTGACAATTATGATCACTGGTTAGTTTTTGTATGGAGATTAGGTTTGTGGATAATTCGAGTGCACTGTGGAGCAATTTTTGAGAGTGAGAGAGCAGTAAAAAAGGGTATGGTCTTCTTGCCTGTTATATGGTAAGAGAACTTATCAAACAGATGATTTTCTTATCCTAGGACAAGGAGTAAATAGTTGATGGAGTGAGTATCGAGTGTGTTATGTGATATGTGGCTCTGAATCAGTGATCCATACAATCTTTTAAAATAATTTCTAAATGATACTCTAATTTGATGGATATATCAAAACTTTCTGGAAAAGGGTGTAAGAGAAGAAGACTCAAGTGATTGTTCAAAGGATACGCAATAGTTGTTTTCTAGGCTTATTATTATCTTCTTTGTTGAGCTTCTCTAAACCTGTACTGCATTTATGGGTTGGGTTGACTTGTATGTTTAGTTTGTGATGTCCCTTTTTGTCCACTTCTTTTGATTATACTCTAACTTCGGGTGCTTCATGCAATTTGGGTTTCCTAGGGCATGTCTCTTTGTGTGTTATTGATTTCTTACAATAGCTGTACAAAGGGAGTATTTGTCTTTAGGTTTCAGGGAATCCTTACTCTTTCCTTTCCATAGTGCCTATTTGGTTCACCATTGGTTGGAACTTCCAATAGCATTTGGTTCGATTACCTCATCTCGGCTTTCCTCAGCATGAATGAGAGAAATTGTCTCAATTTATTGAAGATGTTCCTCTTTCTCTAAGGATTCTGAACTCTATTTCTCGTCAAACTCATATTTAATCCTGCAAAAAAGTCATACCATTCTATCTTTCTCAGTAATATTTTTTTAGGATAACAATATATTTTTGGACATTTTGATCTCTATGCATCTGTAGTGATGAACTTTTTGCTAACAAGCCTTGAAGGACAGTACTTATTTCAATTTTGATCTGCTTCCTTATTTTGTGCTTCCCTCTTGACTGAATTTTTGAAGATTTGGGCAACAATCTGAGTTTTGAGATGTTTCCATATGTTCCCTTTGGCAGTAGATAAGCAAATGAAGTATTACTAATTTTATTGGGCTCCATGGAATTCCAATAACTATGGGCATAATCATCGGGTCTGCTTCATCATGCCCAAAAATTAGGTTTTCTTCTTTTGGTAATACCTCTAAGGAGGTGATTTATCTTTACTTTTCATTTTTTTTTTCAAGTTGGTCTTAAATTGAGACCATTCTAGCAAATTTTTCCATTTATGCGATAAAAAGGTTGTATATTTTGGAGTTTTGTCTTCCTTGGTCGCATGGAGTCCTTCATAAAGCTTTGGGAGGAAATTAGCTTCAAGACATTGCGGCGAGCAACTGTAGTCGATGAAGACTATATTAATCAAGTTAGTAGGTGCAAAGGACAACAATGAAGGCTGCTTTGGTTATAGGAGTGTAGTAACAAGAGAAGGCCGACAAAATGCAGGCCAACGCGGAAAGAAAACTTGGTTCTTTCTTTCAGTCGCAAGGAAAGAGAGATTGTTTGCTTCCATACGTTGGCTCTTGTTGAAGCGCATGCTCAGTTTGCTTTTCTCAACCTAATGTCCTAGACGTAGAAGAGAGGGCAGAATCGTGCTTTCTGCCGCTCCTTGAAGAAGAGGTCACTCGTTTCTCTCCTGATACACTCAAGAGCACCATGCATAAAGGCTCTTACAAGCTTCTCTCTTTTTGATTCCTCTATTCTTTTAAGCTTGACGCTTCAAGAATCAGGAAAATGAATAAAATAAGAAACCAGAATGGATTAATGTATCCTTAGGCTCTTAATACAATGTTAATTCAGAGAATTTGAGGAGGAAAAATGCTTAAATTTAATTGCATAAAATTATCCCTATTTAATAGATCTATACATGATATCTTGATGAGGAAAACTGTACGTTCTTAGGTTTCACAAATTTAGGGGTTTGCCTATTTTCCTTCAAGGATGGAATTTCTCCACCAAGATCAAGTCAACCAAAACAAGAAATGAAGAGGGAAAACAAAGGCTTTGATTAATCTTCAAGACAAAACAAAAAGCAAGCTAGTCCCACTTCGAGAAGGACAAATCTCCAAAAGAAACCCTAGAGAAACAAGAAGGAAAAGAGAAAGAGCTTTCTTCACAATGATGCCCAAAAATGAACCCTAAGCCCTCTTCATACACCCCACATCCACACATCCTAAACTTACCCTCCAATCACCTCCATCTCCTCTACAAGATTCCGG